GGATGCAGGCTGGGATGCCAGATACGACAGGCTTAGTCAGCAGTCAGCGTCAGAGCCGATGTGTTGCGGCAGTGCACTGTGCGCATATGCAGTTGGAATACAAGCGTGTTGTGATGATCACCCTCGTATCCACGTGTTCACAGCGCATTGAGGGGCACACACTGTCGATAATACACAAAGTCCCCCTGGCCGAGCGGTAGAGCATTGGTATTGACGTTTGAACAGTGCCCAAGGTTCATTGATTGTTTATCTATTTAGACATGTTCCATATTCGTTGCTTTAAGTACTTTGCCTTGACTGTGCTCACACACGTGGCAATGGCAAGAACAATTGTTATGAGACAACTTTCAGACCATAAGCCCGTCAGCACTACACAGTCTATCCCAGAACAGCCTATTTTGGGCAGTCCCTTACCAATATGAACCAAAGGACAATAAATTCTCTCACCATCGTTGCAAATCGTCCACCAGCCAGTGATTTCACAAGCCTACAGCCACCTGCCACTGAATCAATAGTCAGATGTCGCTTTCTATAAAGCTGTCCTGTCCAAACCATTGACTACATATCCAAACTCCCACCAGACCTAAGTCTTGGCCCTGCACTTAGCAACTCGTGCAGAGGCGCACTTGCCCAGTACTTCATTATCCTCAAGGTCAACAACCTCCTTGCCCCTGTGCCACAAGCCTGCCCCCCAAAAAGCATCAAACAACCACCACCCTCCTCCCAGTCCTTACAGGCCAATGAATTCTCACGATGGGATCTTGCAGCTGCCCAGCACCCTTCAAGCCCCAACACTCGTGACACTGCAAGCCACATCCCAGAGAGGTAGACAACCAAGCAATGCCAACCCAAATGCCAACGCCCCGGCCCCCTCCTGTCAGCCATCCCCACAAGCGCGCAAGAACCCCGGCTGATCCCAATGCACAGATGCACAGAATTCCCACAACAGACCCCTGGTGCCATCCAGTCCTATTGCATGCCCTGCGGAAGCACCTGCCCCTTCCCCCTGGGCTGCCAGATTTTCAAGCTCCAGCTTCTCCAGCAACAGGCCCTGAGGCACGCACTTCAGGCGTTCCAGCCTGGCACCCCAAGGGTAGCTGGGGTGGCCAGCCCGCTGCCACCCCGCCGCCTAACACCCTCACTGAGCCGCCCAGCACAATGAAGTTTCCAGACTGGGCCTCAGGATCAGTGGGTCGCCCATGGCCTGTGGCAGGGACCTGTTGGCCAGCGCTGCCGTCTGCAGAATCTGCATCTGGGACGCAAGGATTGGGCCCCCCGACATTGTTGCCCAGCGCAAGACTGCACTGGGGGCGCTCTGCCCACCCAGGCTGAGCATCATGTTCTGGTTCAGGGGGCTCAGCATCGCCACCGAGGCCTGGGATTCCGGCTGGCCCTGTCCATGAACTGGGCTCTGCGTCTGGCTCTGCCCCTGGCCTTGCGACAGCGGGATGCTCAATGGCTGCGATGGGGCCGCTGCACTTGCCGCCGCCTGCTGTGGCATGTTGCTGGCCTGGGCGATCGACACGCTCCTCCTCTCTGCCGTGCTGACCTGGGTGCGGACCTGCCTCAGCATGTCAACTCGCCATGCCCTGCAGCCCCACAGCAAATGTCATCAGGAGCATTGAGGCACATTGTGCGTACAGAGGTGGGACAGAGTGCAGCCCAACTTGTGCAGGAAAGAGTGGAGCAGTTTGCATTGACCCACTGGGCGACTTACCTACCTGCCGTTGTAGCCAGGTGTTCTAACTGTTGAACTGGATCGAGGGAACCATTGATGTTGTTGTTCATTGCAAAAAGGAAGTACAAGGTGGTTTGATGTGCTGAAGGTTGTTTGACAAAAGACAAGCAACGAATAAGCTTCCGCTGTCACCTGTCCAGCAAGATTGGTCAGAAATCCTTTTAGATGCTTCAGTAGCAGGCTTATGACCTCTTTGTTCTCTGTCAACTCGCCCTTTGCCCTCTCGCTGAATTCGCCTTATCTGCCCACAGCTTTACCGCCTTTGCATGGAGCTCTTCAGCCTCACTCTCTAGCTCCCTGCCATCAAGGCCAAGATGTCAGCCTCACCTTTCGTTTGACGTCACAGGAGGTGCATACAAACCAGGTGATGACTCCTGCATGTTCTTGAATTCACTCACAACTGATAGAAGCCATTTGATATCATCAAAAGAATCTGGATCTGCTTCTCTCAGTACGTATAAATATTGCAGAGTCGACGAGTTGCAGGGTTGGGGGGGGGGACCACCCAATAGAAGGGTGGCAGACTGGCATTCATGAAGCAAAGCAAACAACACAATCCTGATCATCACCTGGTGATTCCAGGAGCAGAGAACAACAGCCAATCTGCAGCAGCCATGTGCAATGTCACCCTCCTTTGGAGGATTTCCTTCCGAAGAGGGACTACCTTTTGCAAGCGGCAAACAGCAATTGCATGCTCGCAAGAATGTGCTCAGCAGTAACTTCTTCTGCTTCTTCGTTGGTCCCCATCAGTTTCGTACTGCTGAGAACCGAACTGAACTGTCTCCGCCTCCAATACCGTATTTACCCGGTATTAGTAGGCACCCCCTATTAGTATCCACCCCCCTCTTTGGGGGTCGAAACCACGTTAGTATCCATGACCCGGTGTTAGTATCCACCCCCAAACACAGACAGAAACGGGAAAAGGCACGGATGGTGGCAAGGGAAGTCGGCGGCTGGTGTTGGACCGCATTGCCTAGTCTAGACCAAACCGTGTTCCCTGCGATTCGCACATCGACGGGGACGATCGGGTCGGAGTGGATGTTGCCGAGGGAGAATTTGAAAGAGGGCGTGGGAAAGGCCACATGGTTGACTGGCCGCCGTTGGCGCTCTCAGCGCCGGATCGCAGGGCATCGACCAATGCCGCGGGGCCCTGTCAAAGAAGCGGTCAAGACATCAAAGCTGCCTTGTTTCTGGATTGAGTTAACCTGCTCCCTGGCCAGCCAGTGTAGGTTTCGGCCTGCTGCCTGCCAAGGGCGCCCCAAGGCCCAGCGCAGGAATGGGCAGGTGACGGCGTTGGTCGGGGCGGCTGCCGTTGTGAGTCCCCGCCTTTTAAAACTGCCTACAAAGCGCTGCCAAGGCCGGGCCCGTCCCCAACTCGCACATCGTACTAGCTACCAGGCCACAAACACAATCACAAATCACATCAGCCTTCCCAGCTGCCACCAGCCCAGAAAAGCGCTGCGTTTCAAGCTTATTGTTGCAACCCTGCGCCCCAGCGAGTTGAGCCCCATATCAATCCTCGTTCTTTGCATTGCAGAGGAAAACGTGCCTCAAGCATTCCAACGCACTCCTATTGGCCCCAATTGCCAGTCGCCACCACCTGATGCAGCCCCAGGTCAAGGACGCCAGCTCCCGTGAAGAGGCTGACAACATTCCGCACTAGCATTGCCATTCTTGTCCATTTCTGGGCATTTCACCGCCTATTTGTCAAAAATTTTCTATGTCTGCTCTTCGGGATTAGGGGTCCAAACTACGTTAGTATACATGACCCACTATTAGTATCCACCGCTCATTTTTGGGGTCCAATACACGCCTACTAATACCGGGTAAATATGGTAGATCATCTGAGACCAGAGCAAAGGGGGAAATGACATGCATGTAAGGCACACACACCTTTCCATAGCTGTACACTGATTTCATGGCATTGTCATGGGTCCGATGCCATGGAACTTCAAAGGAGTATGCGGTTCTCCAGGTAAGGAGTTTGGCAGTTTGTTCACATTCAAAATACCTGCACCAAAAAAGGACAGTTGTGCACAATGTCACGGGAGACACTCTTGAGACCAAATTAATGAATCTTGCGCATGTCTTCAGCTCAGGGCAGCATGATGAAATGATGCACAAGCCATTCAGCAGGCAAGGAGTGCAATGTTGCATAGCATCGCGGGCTGGGCACACCAGCAGTTGCCACAGCCTCAGCAGCATTCAGGGGCTGACAGCATGCCACGCAATGTTCCATCTGTCGCTGGATACCAATGAGGTAGTCATTGCCTACCTGTTGCATTGACAACAGCCGTATGCATGCCTGTCAAGAACATGCTTGCTACCCTCTTTATTGCTACCATTTTCCCACCGCCTGCATCAAGCATCACAGCAGTACTCAATACAATGTTGAGTCAGCAGAGGCAATCTTTGAACATGCTGGCATTGCAGGAACTGGCCAGTGCATCTTAGTGTGCGCTACTTGAGCCAACACAGTGGGATAACAACCAGCCATGTATCCAACCAGGCCAGTGGGGAGTATGCTGAGACTGACCACCACAAACATTAGTTGAAACACAGATAAAGAAATAGCATGCTGTGGCAGCAGCCACCTGTTGGAACCCACTTCAGGCCCAAGTCTCCACAGGGAAACACGTGACATGAATGATATTGGGACTGTGGAAGACTTCCATGTGCTTGGATTCACCATCCATCTGTTTGGATTCATGCACTGAGGTTTCTTCTGAAAGCTCGGCACTTCCGATCTGGTAATTGTGTTGGCTGGCAATGAAGGCTGCATGAAAGGATATTGTCCCAGCACTACAAGACAACGAACCCAGTTGCAAAAGCTATGTGCCGCAGCCACACACCCAGTGTTCTCGACCTGTTGAATGTGGACAGAACATCCTGTTGCAGCATCGTTAGGAAAGTTTCAATACTGGAATGGCCAAAAGCAAGCAAACAAGACCACCAGTATCACACTCCAACAACAGGTCACTGGGGCAGGTGCTCGCCTTTGAAATCCCAAGCATTCCAATAGCCTGCCACAGTGTTTGATTTGTCAAACAACCTCCTTCCACTAAATGTCTCTCCAAACTCTTGAGATGTGTTGCACCTGGCCTGCACAAGCAAAGCAAGTAATGTACAAACAGCTAAGCACACGCAAACGCAAAGAGACCAGTAATCCACATCAACCCTACTCCTATCCACCTCTCACCCAAGGCATGGGTCAGTTCTTGGCGAACTCGCAAGGGCCAACAAGGTCATTCATGCACCACCATCCACTGCTTTGCGCCTCCAACGCCTTGTGGACGCCCGGAAATGACTTGCCAACATTCTTGCAGGGGAACAACTCAGCAGATAACAATATATTGCACTGGGATAGCTCACGAAGAATGCGACCTGGCACTTTGCAAACAAGCTCAAACTGAGCATCCAGCAAGGCCCACAAGCACCACCAGCAAGCACCACATGTGCCCAACAATAAATACGAGGAAACGAACAGCTGACACTGCAATGACCAAATAGATGCTCCAAGGACGGCCTGCCAAGCTCAACCCTTCGAAGCTGCAGGAAATGTGTTGGTGCGTTTCACAGTGCAAAGGACAGTGGGGTGTTCATTAACACGCGAGCTCATGAACAGATCATCTGGGGAGTAGGAGTCCAACAGTGAGTTCTGGGGCACGAGGGAATTAGCAAAAGTGCCGACAAGGTCAGTGACTGGAACTGCACTGCAATCCTGGTTGAGGATGGAAGTCGCTATTCTGCTTGCCGGCTAATTTCCACACAAAGGAACAGTTCGATATGCATCCTTTGCCCAAGAGACAAGCACTTGGTGGTGATGATGAAAGCGTCTTTGAGGATTCCACATTCAGCACTATTGAAGACGATGCTGAATCCAGAGCAAAAGGCAGGATCGTAAACAGAACAGAACAAAGCAAAACACCAGCCCACAAAGGCAACTGCGCATTGGCTTTCAGAGTTACTCCAAGTTGGAGCAACTCTGAAGGCTGATGTGTGGGCAGCTGCCTTGTGGACTGGTGTTTTGTTCGTTGGAGTCTCCGAGAGTAAAACTGCAACAGGCTGTAAATCGCCCAAACCATGCAAAATACAACAAGGTGTGCCATCCGCTGGGTGAGCACACCTGACAATAGCTGACCAGTAAAGACTGCTGGAACACAAAATATGCATAAAGATCCTGTTCGGTCACCATGTACATTGTGTATCTGATGGCGTTCCATTGTTGTCATGAGACCAGCCACTACAGCACGAAAACAATTGTGGTTGGCCCATGCCTTCCCAGTTCATTGTCTGTGTCTTGGAATCACAAGGCTCAACTCCCTCTCTCACTGTACTGCGATTGTCTTTGCAGTCAAAACTGGTGTTATGAGTTGGTACCTTTAAGCATCTCATCCAGCTGTCTGTGCACATCCTAATAGGTGGATCAGAGGGAAAAATCTGGGGCCACAATTAACTGTCCGCCTGCTAACAACCAAGGACCCTCCTGTTGCAGCGCGAGAGCAATGTGGAAGCAACGAGCCAAGAAGATAGCAAACACACAGCAAATTGATATGTCATTCCTCACTCCCTGAGTCATGCATGAATATGCATGAGCAAGCACGACTACTGATTATGAAACTAATAAAAAAAACTTATGAAAGAAGCATAAATTTGAATATTCCCACAAGTAGTGCCAAATAGCATCGCTTGGTGGCAGTCTAAGCAGCGACACAACTTACATAAGTTGGGATACATGCAGAATCCACTTGGAGAACGGCCACACACAACCTCCGCACTGCTGCAAAAGATGGATCCTTGCAGGGTGAAAAGCTCCCCAAAAGAAGCCTCCTGTT